AAACAGACACATAGATCAATGGAACAGAATAGAGAATCCAGAAGTGGACCTTCAACTTTATGGTCAACTAATATTCGATAGAGGAGGAAAGACGATCCACTGGAAGAAAGACAGTCTCTTCAATAAATGGTGCTGGGAAAATTGGACATCCACATGCAGAAGAATGAAATTAGACCACTCTCTTTCACCATACACACAGATAAACTCAAAATGGATGAAAGATCTAAATTGAGACAAGATTCCATCAAAATCTTAGAGGAGAACACAGACAACACCCTTTTTGAACTTGGCCACAGTAACTTTTTGCAAGATACATGCATGAAGGCAAAAGAAACAAAAGCAAAAATGAACTTTTGGGACTTCATCAAGATAAGAAGCTTTTGCATAGCAAAGGATACAGTCGACAAAACTAAATACAACCTACAGAATGGGAGAAGATATTTGCAAATGACGTATCAGATAAAGGGCTAGTTTCCAAGATCTATAAAGAACTTATTAAACTCAACAGCAAAGAAACAAACAATCCAATCATGAAATGGGCAAAAGACATGAACAGAAATCTCACAGAGGAAGACATAGACATGGCCAACATGCACATGAGAAAGTGCTCTGCATCACTTGCCATCAGGGAAATACAAATCAAAACCACAATGAGATACCACCTCACACCATTGAGAATGGGGAACGTTAACAAGACAGGAAACAACAAATGTTGGAGAGGATGTGGAGAAAGGGGAACCGTCTTGCACTGTTGGTGGGAATGTGAACTGGTGCAGCCACTCTGGAAAACTGTGTGAAGTTCCTCAGAGAGTTAAAAATAGACCTGCCCTACGACCCAGCAATTGCACTGCTGGGGATTTACCCCAAAGATACAGATGCAGTGAGAAGCTGGAACACCTGCACCCTTTTGTTTTTAGCAGCCATGTCCACAATAGCCAAACTGTGGAAGGAGCCTCGGTGCCCATCGAAAGATGAATGGATAAAGAAGATGTGGTTTATGTATACAATGGAATATTACTCAGCCATTAGAAACAACAAATACCCACCATTTGCATCAATGTGGATGGAACTGGAGGGTATTATGCTGAGTGAAGTAAGTCAATGAGAGAAGGACAAACATTATATGGTCTTATTCAGTTGGGGAATATAAAAAATAGTGAAAGGGAATAAAGGGCAAAGGAGAGAAGATGAGTGGGAAATATCAGTGAGGGTAACAAAACATGAGAGATACCTAAGTCTGGGAAACGAACAAGGGGTAGTGGAAAGGGAGGCGGGTGGGAGGTTGGGGTGACTGGGTGATGGGCACTGAGGGGGGCACTTGACGGGATGAGCACTGGGTGTTATGCTATATGTTGGCATATGTTTACAAAAAAAAAAAAAGAAAAGAAAAGCTTCTGTCTCATTGTCAGACAGTTGTGTGGTCGCATCTGGCTCTTGCCCCTTCCGCTGTTGCCTCACCTCTACATTCCCCAAACTCCAAGGAAAGCAAGACTTCAGGAGGAGGACCGGGGACCAAGTGGCTTTTGCAAGCCTCCCTAGGCAATGAGACATTCTTCTCTTCTTGGGCTCATTGAACAGGGAACATGTACATAATACATGTTTTCCTTTTTTTGTACATACATAATGCATTTCTAGAGAGTGCTGTAGATGCAGTTATTGCTTCAGAAACATCTAAAAATAGTCACAGCCTTTTTTTTTTTCACTTATTGATCCCCAAAAGAGCAAAAAAGATTATTTCTTTTGTAGCAGCTTGCCAAATTTCTTTAGGGCCTGGAGCAGCACTAATTGCTTCCTGTCTTGGTCACGGCATGTTCATTCCTCAACCCACCACACGCTGCTTTGCTTAGCTATCATTCCAGGGAATCTGCTGCTTGGGTCTCTGGTAAAGAACCTAGAGCAGACAAGAGGGGACCCTGGTGCTGAAGGGGCAAGATGTGAGCATATTCAGAACCTATGCAGAAATGTGGAAATCCAAAATACAAGGAACGAACTTGGACAGTTATTAAAAATATGACTTACAAAAATAAATGAAATGCAGAAATAATTATTGAAACAGAAGGTATGTAACATAACTCATATAGACAAGAACAAAAGCAAAGGAAACTCTGAGAGAGCTTTTTTAAAAAAAAAAATCCAGCTAAAAACATGCTTACAGAAGTTAGATAAAGCAAACCGGTTAGGAAAGTAAACGTGAATGGTTTTCAAAATCCATTTAGAAGATGTTTAAAATAGATACACCTGAAAGAAAAAAAATAGATACACCTGAAACAAAATAATTTAAAATAAATGATGGGAAAATTTTATCAAGAAAACATAAACAGAAAATAACAGGATGACACATAATTTAATTTTTAGTAAAAATAATTTTTAAAAAAGATTTTATTTATTTATTCATGAGAGACACACAGAGAGAGGCAGAGACACAGGCAGAGGGAGAAACAGGCTCCATGCAGGGAACCTGATGTGGGACTCGATCCTGGGTCTCCAGGATCATGCCCTGGGCTGAAGGCCGAGCTAAACCGCTGAGCCACCGGGGCTGCCCAAAAAGAAGAATTTGATGCAAAGTGCAGTCAAGGTGTCCAAAGGGACATTTTTTTCTATGTTAAATAAAAAGTGCAGTTACTAGTGAACATTACATATGCTGCTCTGTGCTGAGTAACAATCAAAATACGAAGCAAAATACCCCTTGATTCAGCAGTTTTACGCTTGGATGCATTCCAAAAGAAGTGTTTATTTCTGGTCACTAAAGAGAATGTGCTAGAATGTTTGTAGCAGCACTTTTCATAGTAGCTCCCAAATCAAAACTACCCAAATGACCATCACCAGTAGAATGGGTAAAGAATGGAGAAACCTTCACCCAATGGACATCTAAATGAATGTTATGCATACAGCAATCTGCATGAACCTCATAGTCGAAGTCCTGAGCAAAAGCTGTCCACCGCAAAAGAGCACATGCTGTATGATTCCATTTATACAAAGGAAAAAATGGAACAAACAGATAAAGACTCCTAACTCTGGGAAACGAACTAGGGGTGGTGGAAGGGGAGGAGGGAGAGGGGTGGGGGTGAATAGGTGACGGGCACTGAGGGGGGCATTTGACAGGATGAGCACTGGGTGTTATTCTGTATGTTGGCAAATTGAACACCAATAAAAAATAAATTTATTATTAAAAAATAATAATAATAATAATAATAATAATAATAATAATAATAAAAACAGAGCTAATCTGAGAGGATGAGAGTTTCTCTTTGCAGAGAGGGGCCAGTTGCTAGAAGGGAGCACAATGGGGAGGGGGTGTTCTGTGTTCTGGTTACATGGCTATGCTAATTTTGTGAATAATATTCAGGCTGCTTACTTGACTTGTATATTTTTCTTTAAATAAATTTTGTTTTAGTTAAAAAAAGGTAAAAAAATATACTTAGTAAATCTATTTTAGTAAAACTATGTATTTTTTATTTTAGTAAAAAATTTGTTTTAGTATTCATATTTATCTTAAAGATCAAGAAAAAATTATCAGAGAGACTAGAAAACTGTACAGAAAAACTGTTTTAGGGATGCCTGGGTGGCTCAGCAGTTAAGCATCTGCCTTTGGCTAAGGGCGTGATCCTGGGGTCCTGGGATTGAGTTCTGCATCAGGCTTCCTCATGGAGCCTGCTTCTTCCTCTGCCTATGTCTCTGCCTCTCTCTCTGTGTCTCTCATGAATAAATAAATAAAATCTTAAAAAAAAAAACCATTTTAGAGATTTTAGCATATTGCTTCAATAAAATTTTACTTAAATAAATAGATTTTTTAATAATACAGCTCTTTACATTGAATTAATGCATAACTGATTATACCTTAAAACATATATGTATGTTATGTATATACTTAAAAAATATTTAACTCTTGTTCCTATATTAGGCCAATAAGAATTCCTAAAGTCCCCAAATAGGAATTGTATAAACCATGTGACATTGTGAAACTGTCATGTGATAAACTAGATACTATTATTCATATTTTAAGCAACTACAAAAATTAACTATTTGAGATATCTCTGAAATAAATATTTGGCCAGTGACTAAATGAAGGTGACAGTTACAGATTGTAATAATAATGAATAATTATTTTTGAGAAAATAAAAATGAGACAAATAAGTATGTCATGAAAGTTTTTCCAGGTGTTTAAAGCTGTATTCAGTTCATAGTCTTGAATGCTTCTATTATTTAAAAAATGAAAATAAATCAGTTTTCTTTATAATTCAATTTGAAAAGTAAAAACAAACCTAATGGAAATAGGAGTAAAGAAGTAATAAGAATAAAAATGGCAAATGAAATAATTAGAAGAAATAAAAGAAAACAATAGAGCTGATGGATAAATCTAGGTACTTATTCCTTTAAAGGAAAAAGAAAACAGCACAATAATAGGTAATGTAATATAATTAGGAATAAAATAAAAAAATAAAGAGAAATAAGGAACTCTATTAGAAATTTTTTAAACATAGAATGCTTTATGCCATATTATACCCATATGTATATTTTAATTGCAATTGTAAATGGCAAACCTGGGAAATTGCAATTACAGAGATGTAATTAAGAGAATAAAACCCTAATAGATGCAGATGTATGGGAGGAGTTATAAAGATTAACCAGTTCATGGTCTGAGGTCAGACAGTGATTGTTTTTTTGTTTTGGTTTGTTTTTTGTTTTTTGTTTTTTGTTTTTTTTCAAACTTCTGGGTATAACCTGTCTCTGCCCAGTGTGCAGAGTACTATTTTACCTTGGCCAGCATACTTAACCTTGTTTATTGAATGAATGAACCAGTGAATGAGGGCTCTTTTGCTTTAGTGGGGATCACATAGCCCTCTCAGAGGTTAGTAAAAAGTTCGGTAATGTATGTGAGATTCTTACCATAGTGGCTATTAAATAGTGAGCATTCAGTTCACAATGGGTCAGGTGTCTTACAGTACATGGGAATCAAAAGGTCAATGAGTAATCTTTTGATATGTATGTATATTTTTCAGGTTATCCTGACCCAGAAAATTTTTCCTGGACAGAATATCTGGAAGCTACTCAAACTAATGCTGTTCCTGCCAAAGTTTTTAAAATGGTAAGTTTGTGTCTGAATACCTTCTCAACTTTAAACAATGTACATGTTGACTTCATTGGCAGTTTTAAATTATTCTAATTTTTTCTTTTCAAAGTCAAGTGTTATTTCCTAACCAATTTGCCTTGTTTTCATTTAAAACTACAAAGGAGGTGACTCTCCCCACACAAAGGTAATGATGGTCTCCCTACTTGAAAAGCACAGTAGGGACACCTGGGTGGCTCAGTGGTTGAGCATCTGTCTTTGGCCTAGGGGTGATCCTGGAGTCCTGGGGTCGAGGCCCACATCGGGCTTCTTGCATGGAGCCTGCTTCTCCCTCTGCCTTTGTTTCTCCCTCTCTCTCAATCTGTGTCACTCATGAATAAATAAATAAAATCTAAAGAAAGAAAGAAAGAAAAGCACAGTAGCCCATGCTAGCGCAGCTGAAGGCACTGCATCAACTTCAGATAATAGTAGAATCCTTCACTTCTGCTTGTATTCATCCATCACGTGGGAACTCTGAGCTTTCGCAGTCTCAGGGTCTGTTTGAAAGTCTTTAATGCCCTAATAGAATAGGTGAATCTCGTGTAGCCTGTGTGTGTTCCAGTTTTATCCATCTTGAGGCAAACACTGCCTTTAGCATTTGTTAGAACACCAATTTTTATGTTCAAATTTGTACTTACACATTTATTCCAGGTTGAACTGAGCATAAATGATTTAGTAAAAGATGGTGCATTGATAGTATAGTTAGAGATATTTATGTTCTAAAATGGTTTTCAAATTATTTCCTTTCAACTTGTGTGTTCCGGGCTTCCTGACTCATGTTTAATCAGAATTTTATATAGTGAGCTTCCACATATGATTCCATTTATATAAAGTTTTCTATGGATCAAAAGAGATTTGAAACAAAATGCTATTTCATTTTTTTAAAATTGATTATATAAGGATTTGGTAAATAAGTGTAATCAAATTAAGAAGGCTAGAAGTCCTGGAGTGCTTGAAAGGGCTTTAAGAATTGCAAAAACTCAGTAAGCAAAATACCAGCTGCTTGTATTATCTTTTTCTTTTTGTTTCTGTCAAAACTCATTGTAATTTTCCAAGAAGAAAATTACAGGAAAATAAAATTATGATTTAGTTAAAAAGCAACTTCCAGGCTCTTACATGGGATTATTATGGATTCACCTCAAGCTATATATCTTTGGCATCTGCAATATGAAACTGTACCTTTGTTATTGAACAGTGACCTTGGGGAGAGCAGAAAGATTTTCAAGCATCAGAGACCTAATTATAGTCAGTGTACTCCATTTAGTAAATGTAATAATGCATTTTGGAAGAAAATATGCTTCCACAAAAGCTGGAGAGAAACAAGCCCGGTATTGGAGAAAGATTTAACTGTGTATTACTCACATATCATGAGGATTTTATTTTCCAATTACCATTTCTAGACTTGAGAATTCAGTACACTTTTGTTTTCAATAAAGTCAGTTGAATACTTTTATATGTAATAGCTTTCAAAGTTAAACTTTTTGCCAATCTACGAACACTGTTGGACTTGTCTTTTGACTTTGATTTTTGGTATTTAAATTTCCTTGGTGTCAATTATTTTGTAAGTCCTGGTATATATTTTCCCATTTGGTGTGTGTGTGTGTGTGTGTGTGTGTGTGTGTGTGTGTGTTTCTGGGTGTCCATCATTATAGACTCTTGGCTCCTAGCATTTAAAAACTTGGAAGAAAGCTTAAATTAATACAATTTTTAACATGCTTACATTACAGATAAGTAACAAAAGCATAGGTTATGGCTTTAAATTACATTATGGTATGATTTTAAAACAGTTTAGCTGTGATAGTCATACAGCTTTTATCTATTTTAAAATTTAGATTTATAAAGGATTATGCTTATCCTTTCTAATTTTTTAGTAAATGATTTTGTGTTCTAGGTCCTATACTCCAAAACTGGGCAGCAAGAATAGTCAACAGTTTCTTAATTTATAAAGTTAATTTCAGAAAAAAATCCAAACAAATATATAAACTGTTAATAAATTAGAACTTTTCCTGAATCTGGTGATTATTAATGAATTCATGATTTAATCTCTTTTTAGCTATCTTGAAAATGACCAGAAAATTCTTTCTCCTCTCACAGGTTTTATGAAACTGGATAAAATAATATGTTTAATAAACCTTATGTGCCCTTAAACCTAAATTCCACTTATATTAATACAAGGTCTGAATGCAAAGTCAGAACAATTGCACTTTAGAAAACATGCGTGTCATTTCTGAGCCACTGGGTTTTGCAGACTTTTGTTCTTGTGATGTTTCAGCGGCCGCCCCATGGTTTTCTGCCGAGCATGAGACTCGAAGCGGTGGACAGACGGAACCCCAGGCTAATTCGCGTGGCTACGGTCATAGATGTGGATGACCAGCGAGTAAAGGTACTTCCGTACTTCGAGGAGGGCGCTGCTGTCCAGGTGCAGGCCTGCCCCTCCAGCGAGGCTCTGGTTTCTTGGCACAGGGGGAGGAGAAAACTTGCACTCACGGCGTGTAGAGATTGCCAGCTGACGCCTACTTGGCATGGGCAATCCTGGATTTGATACAACTAATTCTGAGAGGGATTCTAACATGCTCTTTTATGGATTTGCTGTTTAGACATTATACGTTTTTTCCTTTTTCTTTTTTTTTTCCAAAGCTTCCTTTTATTGCTATTATCAGCTTTTTTGGAAATAGTCATTAAACACCTTAACAAGAACAAGTAAGTCTTTGTTTTCTACTGTTCTTTGTTCGATCAAAGAAAAAGGAATAAAAGGACTTCAGTCATGTAGCTGAAACAAAAATGCAGATTTTGAAGTTAATATTTTATGAACAGATTTCTATACTGTCCTTATTGTGAAACCTATTTTTTTAAATGCACACATCTTCAAAATGAAATTTTCTTAAAATGGGAGCTTTTCATTTTTTTAGAGGAAGCTAAAAGTTGTGGTATTCAGTAAATCTACACCATATGACAGTTTAAAATTATTTTCCACCCACAGTTTATTTCATACTCATAAAAAAATTCAAGTCAACTACTTTTAATAGGCACTATCAAGATGCGTTTAAGTTTGATATAGTTTGCTCTGATTTAAAACAAATCTTTTTTGCTATGTGTTTTACTTGAAAACCATTTTTATTTCATCTCTTAAAGAATAATCAGTACATATATTTCAGTAAAACTTAGAGATGTGTATTTCACTGTAGATTATCAAGAATTAGCTGTTTCTTTTATTCTGACAAATGAAAATAATTATGCCAAACACTATTCAGTACTAATACATTGTAGGTATTTTCTCTCATTATCTTGTTCTTAATGTTTTATTTTATTTTATTTTATTTATTTATTTTATTTTATTTATTTTATTTTATTATTTTATTTTATTTTTTATTAATGATAGTCACACAGAAGAGAGAGAGAGAGAGGCAGAGACACAGGCAGAGGGAGAAGCAGGCTCCATGCACCGGGAGCCCGATGTGGGATTCGATCCCGGGTCTCCAGGATCACACCCTGGGCCAAAGGCAGGCGCTAAACTGCTGCGCCTCCCAGGGATCCCTTAATGTTTTATTTTGAATTGAATTTTAAGCATATTGCTCAAATTCTTACTTATCTGTGGCTCTTGACTGCTTACTCTTATAGCACTTACTCTGGGAATAACTTTGGATATCATAATTATTTTATAAATTCAGGAGTATTTTTTAAAAGATTTTACTTATTTATTTGAGAGAGTGCAAGAGAGGGAGAAGCAGCTCCACGTGAGGCTCAATCCCACAACCCTGAGATCATGACCTGAGCTGAGACCAACAGTTGAAAGCTTAACCAACTGAGCCACCCAGGACCCCCAAACTTCAGAAATATTTTGTCGCTGAAAATCAGTCTCAAGTCTTTTTATCTGAATTCTCATTTAACTTTCATTATAAAATTACTGCATTTGTAGGAATAATTCAATCTTAATAGTACATCAAATCTTACTTAGAATTTTAATTGACAGATTTTCTTGTGATTCATAATATACATACTGTGTTACCCATTGAATGTATTCGCCGGCTTATTTATGTGATCATATTGGGTTAACACATTACCTTAAAATATTTGAAAAACTAGTTCCTAAAGTGAATTTGGTGTATTTCTTACTTACTATCTCAACATTGATCCATTTAAATCTCTGAGAATTTAGTTGATCCTTCCAATGAAATATTTCAAGTATCTTCTCCTTCTCCTTTCTCTTTCATGGTAATTGCCTTGTCCTTTACGGTAAGGAAAGAGTTGGAAAGTGGTTGGTCTCTCTGACAGGATTAGAACCTTGAGTGTTATTTCTTTGTGCAAATTGGAAGTACCTTTAGGATTTTAGGAAGAAATTAAGATGTGTTTACACAGCTGATGCTCTCTACCCTGTGATATGGTGCTTTATAAGATGTGAAATGAATTGCTTCCACATACCATTCAGTATGTTGAAATGTATCAATCCTGAAATGGACATAAATGTCTTAGGGCTTGTGTCACACTTTGGGTCTCACAAACAGTCTCTACCCCCTTGCAGCCCATTCCTGGGATGAACCCTTCTGCCACGTTCTGCACCCTCTGTTCTGCACCCTTTCCTAGTCATTGCTGCAGTTGGGTACATGCTTATCCTGTCCCATGAAGTACAAGGGGAAAGAATGTGGGCCAGAAGTTTACAAATAGAAACAAATCACAAAGGAGATTCAGAAGTATGCCTTAAAATTCCACTCAACAGTGTTCCCGAGGAGAAAAAGGCATTGAAAATGAGCGTCAGGTGTTTCCCTCTGAATTCCTATTTAAGGAAGTTGAAGGGAGTGGGTGAACTGTCTCTGTGATTGAAAATGCAATTGACGCTTCCCTGACCTCCTTGTTGTCCAGCACATTTCTCTATTCATTTATTAATGTGCTGACCATATTCTTCTATAGTTCGTTCATTCTTTCTTTTTTCTTTACTTTTTCTTTTCCTTCCTTCTCTTCTTTCTCTTTCTTTCTTTCTTTCTTTCTTTCTTTCTTTCTTTCTTTCTTTCTTTCTTTCCTTCTTTCTTTCCTCCCTCCCTCCCTCCCTCCCTCCCTCCCTCCCTCCCTCCCTCCCTCCCTCCCTTCCTTCCTTCCTTCCTTCCTTCCTTCCTTCCTTCCTTCCTTCCTTGTAATTTCCTCTTTTAAAGTCTATCTCCTTCCAAGACTGTTTTTATCATTGACATTGGCACATGGTGCTTAATATATGTGGGAATCAAAGAGTGAGTGAACGAGCGAATGGCATTGCATATACTCTGGTATCCTGGTATTTGAGTGTGTGAAATAATTGTGTTAGTCAAAAAATAGTCTTCCCTCATTCTTAATCCCTCTCCTAATTACTCTTCCATTGGAAATCCAGTTCAGCATAATGTATTAGAAAGTGACATAGGATACACTGATCTAGGTTTGAATTTCAGCTCTGACTTATTTAACTGTGTTATTAACTTGGTGGTTACTCAGTATATTTGAACCTCTCCTTATCTGTAAAGTGATGTGGTCAATAATGCCTACTTTGTTGGGTTATTGTGATCACTGAACATTCAGTGAAGTAGCATATATATAATACCCGAAAATGTGCCTGACTTTCTCTAGCACTTAAGTCGTAGCTGCTGTTATCAGCCAGTACAAATGCCCTGTCCTACTCTCCCTGGGTGCCTTTATTATCTGTGTTGATGAAGAGGCCTCATGAAAATACTTGTTATTGGTAGGTGGGAAAGGAACAAGCTCATGCTCCCTGGTGAGATTGACTGGGATTCCTCTGGGAGTGCTCGCATCACATGCCATTGGCTGACTGTTGAGAGGAGAGTCAGCCTGTGGGACCAAAAGACCAATATCAAAGATGATGATAATGATGACAATAGCACTTAGTTTTTATCAGATGACCCTCTTATAAGGGCTTTCTATGCATTAGTGTATTCTCACAGTCACCATAGGACACAAGGTGTGATTATTAGACTAATTTTTTTAAATTGAAGTTCGATTTGCCAACATATAGCATAATACCCAGTGCTCACCCCATCAAGTGCTCTCAGTGCCCATCACCCAGTCACCCCATCCCACTGCCCACCTCCCCTTCCGCTACCCCTTGTTTGTAACTCAGAGCTGGACAGAAGAATGAAACTACACTCCCAATTTTAAACAGAGGTTTTCAACCTAGAGCTTATAATCTTCCCACTCCGTCTCCTCTTCTCCTCTTATTGTCATAAATATCCCACTTCCTAATGGGACAGCAGAAGTCTAGGGTGGGGACTGAATTCACTCCTAACCCACCCTACTTTGTCCTTTGTGCTGAGCCCCAATTGCCTGTCTTCCCTAGAGGTTTGTGTGGTAGTGCCAGCACTTCCTGGCAGAGTGCAGTAGTTAGGGAAGACTAACTTTTTTCCTTTATGCCAGTCCCCAGATATGAAGTTGCCCTTATGTGCTTCATTAATTCTATTTTTGAGGCAGCTTTTTTGAGATATAATTCACACACCATAAAATTCACTGGTTTTGAGTATATTCCCAGAGCTGTGCAACCATTTCCACTATCTAAATTTAGAACACTGTCATCTTCCGCAGAAGAAAGTTCATACTCCCAGCAATGATTCCTCAGTCTACACCTGCTCTCAGCCCCTGGCAATCACTAATCTACTTGCTGTCTCTATGGGGTTGCCTATTCTGAACATGTCATACAAATGGAATCATGTCATATGCGATCTTTTGTACTTGGCTTATTTCATTTAGCATAATGTCTTAAAGATTTATCCATCTTGTAGCATGTATCAATACTTATTAATTTTTATTTCTGAATAGTATCCCATTGTATGGATCTCCCACATCTTGTCTATCCATTCATCATTTATAGACATGTGGGTCGTCTCCATTTTTTGGTTATTTTGAATAATGCTGCTATGAACATTTGTGTGTTTTTGTGTGGACATATGTTTTCATTTCTCTTGGTTATATCTCTAGGAGTAGAATTTCTGGGTCATATGGTAACTCTTTGTTTTACATAGTGACTGCCCCATTTTACATTCTCTCTAGCAGTATATGAAGGTTTTAGTTTCCCTACATCCTTACCAAAATTTGTTATCATCTGTTTTTATTTATTTTTTAATTTTAGCTAGCCAGATATGCCTTATATGTGTAGATACAAAGAATCTAAATTATTATAGTTAACATGTGACTGCTAATAATACATTGGCCTGAAGGAGCAGGATCCAGTGACTTCCTGGTGGTTGTAGTAGAGGAAATGATAACAACAGTAGATGGTATCAGGCTCAGAAGTCACAGAAGTATAATCAGTGGAGTAAGAAGACCAACTTATTGAATATGGATTTTGTTCCAGATATTTAGCTAAATATGTTGTATATTTTACCCTCATATCCACAACAACTCTTTTTTTATACT